AAAGAAGCGTGCCAGCTGGTCCCCGGGGGGGGGGGAGGGGGGGAGCAGGGATGGACAATGGGAGACGAGTTTGCCTTAGTGGGCAATGGGTATCAAGCAACGCGGGCAAGCTTCAAGCATGGTGCTGGTAGGTGGTGTTTTGCTGTTTTTGTTGCAACGGAAGTAGTATATACTCTATATTATTTGTGGCTGCTCTCCCTCGAAATGTACATTGAACCCCAAAAACAAGTCACACAAAGAGTAGACTCCTGGGGGAGAGCCTTCCATGCTGATGCGGAGAATGCCTCTGGCAACGGCTCCAGCGCTTTGCCAGACAGATGTTGCTGTTGTCCGCAAGCTAAGGCAAGCACCTCGTAGCGACTAGCATAAGCCCCACAAATATCCACAATTATGTTTTTGGAAGTTGGGAAAGCAAATCATGCGGGAGTGAATGAGGATGTGGAATTCCCCTGCCACCAACAATGGCACAATTCCCGGTGCGCAGTGAAGGGGACGACCAGGAGGAACTTTAGTCACGACTAAACGAAGATTGGAGGAAGCAACGGGGGGAAGTGCGCCATCGACTTTTGCCCAACTGGTTCCTTTGGTTTCCAAACGAGGGCCTGTGGACCTCCTAGATTGCACGGCCCTTTGTTTCGCACGGCGAGAAGCCATATGCACTGAACTCTGGTTGACTGAAGAATCCACGCAGGTGCATTGAAAAACCTCTCCGCCAACAAACTAGACCACAGGGGTCAAAGAGCAAGGGAGCGTTCTAGTCCAATAGGAAAGCAATGCAAACCCCCGGACCCTATGAAATCTAGATGCCGAACGATTTGAGGATTCCGGTGCAAGTTTGACGTGGACACATTTAATGCCTTTGCACATCCAGGAAGCAGCCAGCATTTGGAATTGCTTTGCGCGTCCCTTGATGATCTGCAAGCTGGGTTTCGGCCACAATTACCTGAGCTTCACTTCTGTGAGCGAATGGTTTTGTGATACTGAATCAGTCAGGGTTCGTTGTTTTATTTTCAGACAGACTGTTAACCTTTTGGTTTGCCCTCAAAAGTAGCCAACATTCTCCCAAAACAGGACTTACTCAAATGAAATCGTGGAATGGGCGGCATACTCAACACGTCAACGGCTTGAGTTTGAATTAGTTGAAGGCACACATGTTGAATTTGCACTCAGCATGCTGTTCGTTTAATTTGGCTCACTTGAACTTGCTTCCCTCCATTGAAGAAACATACAGACAATTCCCGCTTTCTTGGATCGGCGTCCTTTTGGGTCAGTAAAGGTTGCAAACAGATGGCACGGGTTTCGGTTTTGGTTACACTCATCTTGTCGGTTCTTAGAATGAGGTACCCCTATAAACCATCCCCTACATTTTAAGGAAGTCCCTAGGATCGTGCGTCATTCCCTATCGCACCTAGTCATTGATGAGCCTCGCGGATTGGGGAGTTCGAATCCAGCGAATCCATCTCCGGGGTTGATCAATCCACCCCCAAAGCGGCCATGAGGAACTTGTCCCAGGTCAAAATGTCGTGTTTTTTGGCGGTGTCCCGAATTGTCATCCCATGGAAAGGACCTTTTGATAAACTCCATTTGGGTGTATTGATTTGTCAATCCGATCCTTTAAGATACCTTCCAATGCGTCCGTCTGCTCAGGTCTTATGGCTCTTTGGTATCGGATCTTTCTGCAGTGCTTGGGACATAAGCTTTTTGGTTGAAACAGGGGATTTTCCATTGAACCCACAGAAAGCGAACAACACGTTTTGCAGAGGGGTCAACAACAAGCAAAAGGTATGCTCAAAACTTCTTGTGTGTTCTCGCCAGGCCGGAGACGAAACGCGTCTGCGGGAACTGCTTGCCACTGACGTGCCCGTGGACGTGAACCGCGCCGAGGACCTGAATATATAATTAATGTGTATGTATGTATATATATATATACATGCACAATACACATGCAACTTTATGCACATGTCTTCTTACGTATCTATGAATGTGTTCAAATACATATACATATGCGCGTGTTCGTGTACACATGTTTCATTATTGAATTCAGACTACCTGCTCATTCTCGTATTCCCGGGTATTCTATGAGCTTAGGTTGTAAACCACAATGGTTCTTTGATTCACCACTGGCCACTAGACACGCTATGCTGATTCACCTAATAGCTGAGTATCCTCTAGCCTGATTCCATGTTGACGATGTACCCCAACTTAAAATGGCTTCTGTAGTTGGAGGCGTGTTGATATTTAACCTTTGATTGTTTGGGCCAATTTTTGGGTTTCTTGCGCACATCTTCATGTTGCAAAGGGGGGTGGAGTGGAGGGTTGGCCTCCTCCACCCCCAAGTCTCTTGGAATAAATTCTGGAGGGACCCTCTAAAGGCAAGGGTGTGGATCTCTTAAGACACCATCATTAGTGACAATCGTTCGTGATTGTCGCAACATACTCCATCCAAGATGACTCTGTGAGGAATCGACGTTTGGCATGTCGCCTTTGCGACCAAGGCTGTTGCCAAGAAACCGTCGAGCTACTGCTACAGTTGCAACAAGTCCAACACACCCCCGCGGGTACAGGGGTCTAAGTTGACCCGTGCTGGTTTCTATGATAGCTAGAGAACTCTAGCTCCCACCCCATGGAAGATGAGAAGGCTAAATGTGTTTATGAATCCCTTAGGCGTTATCTTGCAATGTTTTGACTGAAAAGGCGGTTTTCCCAATGCTTCAGAGGTCAACGCCCTCGATTCACCACCTTGCCACAGAGTTCCTAGCCCAAAACCAGCGAAACCACCCCACTCCAAGTTGGAAAAGGCCCAAAGGTTTTGGGCAAGAGGGGCTTTGGGCTCCAAGATTCGGGCGATGCTAGAAGTTTAAAACCAGGCACCCCCTGTCCGTCAGGAGCGCCGTGGTCTGTCAGCGCTGCACCTCGCCGCCAGCGCCAGCACGGGTGCCGTGAAGACGCTGGTTGAGGCCCGCGCGTGGCTGGTGCCTTGACTAGATACCCAGTTCAGGTGCATCCTCGAGCTCCCGTGTTGGTGGGCTTTTGACTAGACATGGTGGCAATCCGGGAAAGGGTTCTGGGCAACTGGATATACTTGGATGTTCAATCTAATGTTGACCTCAGATTAATCAACCCCAGTGGAAATCAATCGGGGGGTGTCCCTGTTTTTAGTGGGAAATCATCACTTCTGGAGGGGAACACCCCCCCCATGAATAGGACAGGTTTCTTAATCCAGGGTCTACATTACTTGGGTTATAATAGACGCAAGTGACTATTAGCCCCTGCCGGCGCCGACAGAGCAACATGATCCTGAGAGGTTTTCTGGGCGGCTGGGCTTTGGGGTGCTTGGCTTGCCTTTCAAGAGGGTTCTGTGGTCTGTGTCCACAGATTTGTGTTTAATACAGCCGTCAGGATGGCGAAGCCGCAAGTTTCGGTGAATCCCACGACAGCCACCCCGCAGAACTTCGGGTGCAGGCTAACCAAGCTATGGGCAGTGAGACTTTGGCCGGCTTTGTGTGGTACCCTTGGAGAATCCAACCTTCAGTCAGGATGGAAATCATTCACTTCACTACAGAACGGGGGAAGGTTTATTTCCAAAATGAATCTTTGGGTGCGGAGGTGGAGTTAGTGGTCTTGGGTTTGAAGACGGACCTTTGGCTCACTACCCCACCCCACCCCACCCCACCCCACCCCACCCCACCCCACCCCACCCCACCCCACCCCACCCCACCCCACCCCACCCCACCCCACCCCACCCCACCCCACCCCACCCCTTTCCGAGCCTCGCAGCCTTCCAGACACGACCGGTGTGCGCCGCGAGTCTGAGGAGCAGAGGTCCCAGTTGGGCACCGCCTTGCACCACGCCGCCCTCAGGACGGGGGACAGGGCGTCCATGGTTGCAGCGGCAAAGCTAGAGCAGGGGTGCCCCTTTTTGGAATCACTCAACGGCATAGGGTGACTTTGTTGGTTGGTTTGGTTGAACATAGAGGGCCCTGGTTTTCCTGGTGGTTACCAGGGCCGTCTATTTCCCAACAAAGGACAAGCAAGCAACTGCCGCGTGAGAGGTGCGTCAAGAAAAGCCGGAGCCTTCCAGTGGGACACTTTTCGACAGCGAGTTTCCATTGGAGCTGATGTTTGAAGGTCAATCTTGGGAGCACTGGTGCAACTCGCCACAGACGCTGGAGCCTTGAATTGTGCCGCGCTCTTTCGGTCCGGACCAGGGATGGCCGGTTTTGGGGTCGATGCCAACTGGAGGCGGTCCCACAAATTTCACGGTTTGCTTGGTTTGGCGAAGAGTTCAGACTAGCAGGTCAGATGGGTCAAAATCACAGGACCCCCTTGGTTTTTTTGTTTTTGTTTTTTCCCCAGGGAGCTGCTCGAGTCGGCCGATGTTTCAATAGGTGGCTTGTGTTTGCTTCGTGCCTTTCGTCACCCTTTGTAACGTGCGCGCCGTGAGAAGACCCTTACCTTTGGTCTGAGGCGTCTGCTCCTTTTGACCGGTTTCAACCTCCGGGACAACTTTGCAGCAACCCTTTGGAACCTGCAAAAGTGGCAGTTTTATTGGACACCACCAGCAAACTGCAGTTTTTCGACCGGAACAAGATGTAAAGGGAAATGTTGGAAGCCGGCGGGAATGCCTGTTTCGGGTGTCCCATGCCCTCGCAATCGATATTTGCGGCTGGGACCGCCCGCCTCACTCCGATGGCAGTTGGAGTATTATTTGAGTTTGGGTTGGAAGTCCAGGCAAGTGATGCCATTTTAAAGGAACTAACCGGTCCCTTGCAACTGTGCATTGCGCAGTAATATGCATATATAGACACATAGATAGATATAGATGTTCATTAGCCATTCTTCACTTTGTTCTATGCGCCTCGGGCCTTTTCTCTTCCTGTTTGGTGCTTTACGGGCCTGCTGATAGTTGCTCGAATTGGATTGCCGCGGGAACGGCCTTTCATGTTGGCGAGGAGTCCTGACTCGTGGTGTCAAGTGTGGTGGCATCACTGGGCCGGATG